ATTACCGTCAAACGGGGTTAAGTGAATCACAAATAGCTGTTTTTCTCAGAATATTCCAAAACTACAAATATTAAAAATCTGTAAAAAATAAGGTATGTTGTTTGGGGCTTACCTCTCACTATTAACCAAGTTTTATATTTTTATTTTACTTAAAAGTGCCCTATTTTTTTTGGTAAAATGTGATTCACTTTACCCCTTATTTTGGGGTAAAGTGAATCATGGTTTAAATCGCAAAGAAAATCACTTTGGCAAATGTCGGGATAAAGTGAACCACTCAAACAGTTTTTAAAAAATATTTTAAGCACTTGGTTAGAAAAAATAACTAAATAAACGTAATACAAAGAACAAAAACGTTTATTTAAAAATAGTAAAAAACAAAAACAGCTTTTAATCATAAAGCAAAGAGGAAATTTACGAACTAAAAATATAAATTCTTACAAATCTGAGATCTACTGAATGTAATAAAATAACAAAGTTTTGGTAACATCTTGTCTTGTAATAACAGCCTTTAAACTTAACACCTAAAGGAACTTGAACTAAAAATAAAGTTCTCACAAGTGGTTTATTCCAAATTTTTAAAATCGACGGGATTTATATTAAAAATCCATTTTCCTCTTTTCATTGCCATAACAGACAGTTTTTTAACCACTTGTTCGCTTGTTATAACTGACACGTCGGCAATTTCGGGGTAAACAAAATAACCTTTTTCATTGATTCCTTTTTTTCTTAACACATTTACTGTATATTGGTTATTGTTAATGGTTTCTACTTTGCCAATGAACAGTCTATCTCTTTTGTCAGTAGGAAATTTTACTATTATAAAATCATCTGCTTTTATTTCCTCCTTAGTCTTATTAGTTTCTTCCTCAGTCTCATTATTTTTAATTTCATTTCTTTCAAGCTCTTCTTGGGATTGATTTTGTACGGTTTTGGAACATGATGGAGCATCTTCAGTATCGCCTTCTGATTCGATTACATTAATGCTTGAAACTGAAAGATCATCGTCATCAGAAGTTTCTATCTTCTGTTTTCGTTTTTTATTTTTGGGTTTCGATGCTTTTGGAGTTTTGTCTATTAATGTCTCAATCAAATCATCCCTTGACACACTTTTTCCGGCCACAATATTAATTTTTCTACCCCTCTGTTTGGTCTGACTTGGAGGAGTTTTTAGTTTTTCTAAATGATCAACAATAACACTTGTCCATGCACGGTTTTGCATATTTTCGCCATCTTTGGCCTTATCATTTCTTGGTAACTTTTGAAGCACTGCATTGGGATTAAAGGGCATAATACCACAAGCCTTAAATCCTGCTATTGAATTTTCTCTAGATCTTATTCCGATGTTTTCTATAGCCTTCTTTAAAAGCCTGGGGAATTCGGTTTTCGGTACTACGCCTCTGTGCTGAAGTTTATATGTTTCTAAGATTTTTCTCCACGAAGCTTTTAAGGGTCTAAAATATGCAACGTCCAAGGGCTGTAGTAAATGAGTAGAGTTTGGAGGCAACAGCACAAACTTAATGTTATTATTTTCACATTCTTCAATGACATTTACTGTGATGTGGCTATTAAGATTATCCCCAATCAAAACCTTGGGACCTTCAAGTTTCTTAAAATAAGGTAAAGCTATGGTCTTAAACCAATCTTCAAAGAGTTCTGTGTCAAACCAGCCACTCATCGTTCTATTGTATCGGGTCCCTTCCGGCCCGCCTTCTGTCCAACCAGCATATGAGTGCTTTGCCTTATAAACGACATAAGGCGGGAGCAATGTACCATTTGCTGAAATCGCAAACATAACGGTTGTGGCACTCTTAGATGAATCTATTATTCTATGAACGTGTTTGGTGCCTCTTCGAGTTACTACTTTTGCTGCCCCCGGATCATCAACGAAATTGGTTTCGTCATAATTTACGACATTCTGAGCAGGGACATCGGTCAAGCTAACCTTCAAGTTCTGAAAATATTCTTCTATCACTTCATATGACAACGCAGCCCTTGTTCGTTTAGTATTCTCTGCTAACTTGCCGGTGAGTTCCAGATTTCTGTTCAAAAATGATTTGAACCAGTCTGCACCCGGCATATTGTTTTTAAATCTTTTTTCACTTTTTCCTAATCTGTTTAAATAGGCTTGTACAATGGATCTTATGTCGGTGCTTTTTAACGGAAACCCCCACTCAGCACATAACTGCAGACTTTCTTTCAGTTGTAATTCTTCACCCTCGGAGAGTACAGGCTGCCGACCGTATTTTAGAGGATGTTTCCCATGGTATCTGCTTTGAACAGTAGAATAAGGAACACCATAATGTTCTGATGCTGTTCTTATAGACATATCCCCCCTCCGTACCGCCGCCACTGCTCTGTGAACGTATTCTATGTCATAATTGCATTTACCAGTAGGTCCTATTTTTTTTTTGTATATTCTGGTCATTCTGAAAGCAAAAATACAACTATTTAATGTAAGAACAAGCGAAATAATTATTAATTATTAATATTTCAAACTGATTCACTTTACACTCTTAAATGTATCTTTTTTCTAAATAAATTATAGACAAAAGAAAAAAATACTTTAATAAATTTCAATATTAATTTTATATTAATACGTGATTAATCAACACAATTGTAGCATATATGTTTAAAAAAATAAATAAACGGAAGCTGTACAACTAAACGTTTCCAAGAATAATTGTAAAATCGATAAATCCCTGTATTTACAAATATTTGCGTCGTACTTACGTTTATTGTTATTGCCGACACTCGCACCTCTCAACGGCTCATCACTCACTGCCACGAAATATGCGACTCGCAAACACGTGTTGTTCAAGATCTCGTTGGAGATATTTGTCACTTTTAACGGAAATGACCGAACGGTTCACTTTACCCACTGTGATTCACTTAACCCCGTTTGACGGTAATTTGTTATTGTGTATTCATTTATGGTAGTCAGTTTTATTACTTATTTGTCTTTCTTTTAATATTTGTTATGGAGCAAAATCAAGTTGCTGGAGTAATTGCAGCTGTTGTTGCTGAGGCGGTAGAACTATTACTTGGCAGCGATGAAGAAGATAATGATGATATTTTGGAAAAGAATGAAAACTTTTTCGAAGTCACCATCATTAATTTTTCAGATGAGCAATTTCGGCAACACTTCCGATTGCGGCCAAATACATTTGACACTTTATACATGTTGCTAGGTGAAATATACAATGTAAGACAAACTCAAGAACCTCAACCTGGGACGCCCGCAATAAACCTTGAGAAAAAATTACTGACGTGTCTTTGGTATTTAGCGAACGTAGAAAATCACAGGTAATTTTCATGTAATTCTTATTTTGCGGCATGATCAAGCGACTTGAAACTGTGAGGTGCCTTGAAACAATACTTATACAGTGACTCAATACTATTTTGCTATCATGTAGGTATTATAAATTTTACAGAGGTGTAAGCGATCGATTAGGGGTAAGCAAGTGGACCTGTTGGACCGCTGCAATTTAATATTTAATTTGATGGAAGACCTAAATAGGCAGAACCTAATAATTTCATTCCCAACTGGCGAAAGAGCCACACAAATAATTAGAGATTTCGAAGCCATCACTGGTTTTCCTGGTAAGTATATAATAACAATATATCTCATTATGTAGTCAGCACTTCAATCTTTCTGAACTTATGGAGGGTTTCTGATTGTTGTATGTGCCGGGGGTTTTCCAAGAGTTCTACTTTTATAAGCCTTAATGTAATCACCCCAGATCTCTTAAAAGTGATATATAAATGACATCTTAAACCAGATCTTTGACAACATTAAACCTTAAAATTGTTTCAATTTATTCTTTTTTTTTTTTCATATTCATTTATTGATAAATTCTGTGAAAAATGTTTTGATTTTTGCAGTATTTTTGACAAATTTTGATAGTCCAGTTGCTTGTGAAATGTGTTTTTATACATATGAATTTTTATAGTTTAATAATTCTAATCTAGTGCCACTAACTTTATTTTTTTCAGGGATACTTGGTGGTTGTCACATACGAATTGAGAGCCAAAAAACCATGGAAACTCTTACATTAACCGTAAGGGCTATGCTTCCATTCTTCTACAAGGAATATGTGACAGAAAAAAAAAGGTTCTTGGATATATGCACAGGAGAACCAGGGAGCATCCATGACTACCGACTGTTCACGAAATCAGATATTTTTGGAAAAATTGTCGCAAATCATGTGGAATTTCCTGATGATTCTCATCTTATTGGAGATTTAGCTTATAAACTTTCAACAAAGCTAATGGTTGGGTTCAAAGATAACGGACAACTTACTGATTCCCAAAAAATATTTAATAAAACCCTAAACAAGGATCAAGTTGTTATAGAAAACGCTTTCGGTCTTCTAAAATGTGGATGGCAAAAATTGATGATACTGGAGACAAAAAGAATGGATTTAATACCACAATTAATTTATACATGTTGTATTATACATAATTTTGCCATAAATAATAATGATTTTTTTGTTGTTGCTGAAGAAGACATTGAGGAATTTCCAGACGAGGAATTCAAAAAAGAACTTAACGATAGGAAAGCACAAATTATAAGAGGAAATTTGAAAAATGTATTCTATATGCGCCACCTTCAACAACTTTGAAATATATATATATATTTTTTTTTAATTATCTTTAATAAAAATACTTTTATGACTATTTTTATTTATTAGCCTCTTAAAGAATTCGTGAATGTTCTAAATAAATTCCTCTTTAAAATATTTCTGCAGTTCAATTTACTCAAATAATCCACATTTCATAATTTTTGTAATGCTTTATTTATTTCAGTGAAAAACAATCTTAAATCTAATATTTTGGTTTAACAAACGAAATTAGGGATAAAAGAACAATAACATCAAAAAATAATCCTAATATGAAACAGTCTTATTTTTATTTTGGTTCCTCCTTTTTTATTATATTAATAAGAGTTTTGCAATTTGTCGATCTTCTGCATTTTTTCTGTGTCGTTTTTTTCAGCCGCACTATCTCTTCTTTCTCGTCATTGATGACACTAATGGGCTAAATGCCAGGTTTGTGTTGACAGTTTGTGAGCCCGATGCTTCTTCGTCATCACATTTGTTAATGAGAAGACCTTTGGAGCTGCTACATATAGCTGGTGCAATAATCTCGGGCTTGTTAAATAAAAAGTCATTTAGGATTTCATAATATTTCCATTTGATTGTTCCAGTTCCTGTTGATGCAATGGTCTTTTTAAAATTTTTATACTTAGAAACTAAGTACTTCCATTTGCTGTCAGCCTGTGTTCCTGTAATTGTCTTTCCAAATGTATTTGAAATATTGTGGGCAATTTTTTCGAATACTTTTTTCTTGCTAAATGTTTGCAATTCTTTCCACTTAGCAATAACTTCATTTATCAGATACATATCTGACTCATCATTCCATAGTTTCTCTTCATTTTTTAACATTTCTGCAATAAAGAGTGAAGTTAATAAAAACGTAGCATTCCCCCAAATTTCTGTGACTTAATCTATAAAACTTACTATTTTCTGAAGTAGTTGGACCAGGTTTCACTGGTTCCTCATCAACAAATCGTTCAATAGGACGTTCTAGGACAAGCGCTGCTCAATTCAGGTCTATTTTTCCTTAATATTAAGACTATATAGCTGAGAAGATACTCATCATCTTTAAGACAACAAAAATATAAAAGTAAGTAATAGGTAACAGTTAATAGTGTGAAAAGTTCAAAGTTAAAACAAACAGATTAATTTAAGCTTACCAGTTTTTAAAATGTTAATTTTTTCCTCGGTTTCATTTATTGTAACCACTGAATCGTTGATTTTTATGTAAAACAACATTTTGTTTAAAATAATTAACTTTAAAACAGCACAACCAAATAAAATGTTTCTTTTTGATAAAAATCACAATAGATAGGTTATAAATCTATAAACATAAACAAATTATGACACATTTGACACGCATTTGACAATCCCCACTCTTGACATCTATCACCTCTGATTTCAAATCCAGAAGTAAAAGAAGTTCTCTAGAGAACAACAAATGACTTCAACAAACGCAGATACAGAAGTAATAGAAGTATCCGAGGTGTAATAACAAACGGTTGACAAGTAAAAGATAGATTCGAGAGGTAATGCCAAACGCAGCAATTACTAGTTAAACTTAAATTTACTTACCACGTTCTCTCAGCTATCTTCTGTGACTACACAACTAAAAGTTTCCAAAACAACCTACGTATGTGACGGACCGAGAAAATAAACCCTTCTCTTAGCTTCTCTCGTAAAGACTGATAGTTTCTGTAGTAATTTGTGGGCTTTCGCCGCGCGCTGACTGATGTATACTAACAGTACTAAAAACATTGCAAAATATACGTGATGTTTGGTTTCATCCCTGCTGATCGGTTTCTCCCCGTCTGACGGTACCAGTTATTGGCATATTGATGTTTGTGGTTTTTAAACCTAAAGTTTTGGCCATGTGGGTTGTTATAAAGTTTGATGCAGATTGTGAGTTTGAAATATAAGATTGAGATTCTAGAATTGCATAGGCGTTTTGTGCTTGTGAAGAATGTATGTATTAAGTGTTTTATCTATTTGTTGGATTTGTTCCTCAATAAAATTATCATGCGATTGATCTTGGATTGGCTGCTGTGAGTTTGAAGTTAGGTACTGACAATGATTATTTGGTTGATTGTGAGTTGAACGATTTAAATTTGAATTCTTGTATCTATTTAAATTTGATTGATTATCATTATGTCAATTAAAGTTATTATGGGGATGTATTGTAAGCATCACGATTTGGTTCATCGAAAAAAGTATTAAGATTAATTGTATTTTTGAAGTAGATTTATTTAATTTCTGTGATCAAGAACAATAGCATGGAACAAAATTATTACATGAATGAATCCCAATACCATCAATCATTGACAACTGACACATGACTTGACATTATTATTCTTTTATTTAAGTCTAAAAAGGACTCTAACAGTATTATGTTTTCCGTTGCAATTTTTACATCTTATTTCTTTTTGACATTCAGTAATCTGGATTTTGGTAGCCGGTTTTGACCTTGCCGTGTCTTGTGATTTCTTTAATTAGAACTTGCTTCTAGTGAATAAGCTTCTTTTTACTTTGGCGGTTACCATATGACCATTTAGTAATGTTTAGTCATTGGACTGTTCTTCTTTGCTTTATTTTTTAATCTGAAATATCTACTCTTATATTTTCTTGCTTTGTTAGCTTCTGATTTAATTAATTGTGTTTTAAACTTCTTGTTATCCCTGTATAGCTTAGCCCTATTGTTTTTACCTTTTTTTCGACCTGCCAGTGACTGACGACTTGGTCCGGTTTGTAATTGCATAGGCTCTCTGCCTTTCCTTCACACGTTCTTGGTACCTTCTGGAACAATCCGTCCATGTTTTTTTTAATGCGTTGTTGTCGATGATATCATAGTAGAGGTTAAATGACAGAGCAAAATGAGGAAACCCTATGACAGAGCAAAATGAGGAAACCCTATGAGAAGGCAAAATGAGGAAACCATCTGGTGAACACCTGCATCCTGTTATAATATGTAATTTAATATCTCTGGGAAAGATAAAGACATCCGGTTCTCACGCGAACACAGGACGGCCATCTGACATGTAATTTAATATATCTGGGAATGATAATGATATACTGGCGAACACATGTTGACCATCTGGCATGTAATGATAAAGATATCCGCCCCAACCATTGGTACTTTCATAAAACATGGTTAGTGACATTTTTTGTGCACAAATTTTGTTATTTAAAAGGGCTGTCGCCATACTTTTCAGTTTTAATACTATAGTAATCAATATGAACGTGGAAAATTCTGAAATTGTAAAAACATCTTCTACTAATAAACGCGAAAATAGTGCTCGTTTCAAGGAATATGATAAGGCGATACGTGAAGATATAGAACCGTTTTTAAAAATGGCAGAAAACCGGATCATGCTTGAAGCCAAAATAGTTCAGGAGATGAAGACATTGTGTGAGGATTACAAAGTTATTGAAACCCAAATAAATAAAATGACTAAGTTAAAATGTGAGCTAGCCTCCAGAATTATAAAGTTGAAAGGAGAATTGTAATTAATAAAGATGTGCAATATATCCATCGAGCACGACGACAAGCCCCGATGTACAGCATCTAGACCACTTTTCTTCAAAGTTAACTTTAATGACAAACGTGAAATTACAAAAAATTCTGAGAACATGAGATGTGAAAATGTGGATGCGTTTAAAAATGAACTCGAATCATGACTGAAGCCAGAAAAGATACAATATTATGTGAGCGTTAAAATGTGATGTAGCTATCTGAATTATAAATGTAAAAACGATAACTGTAATTAATTACGATGTTGATTTAATTTAAAATAAAATTTATTTAAATGTTTTGGAATTTGTTAGTAAAAATTATTACCCCTAATTTGTAGTGTAATGGTTTAACTTTTAATAAATACTTTTGATTTCTCATTCCTGTTCTCTCGAGTTCACAGGGCCTGTAGCCCTATGCAACTCCGTCAACTTCTAAAAACTAAGTGATTTAGAAGTTGACCCACAACTTATTTACTGGCTCTTCAAGTCTGACTCAATAAAACGTTTATTTAGGTATACAAAATTTTACTGTTAGCTCCAATAAAACACCCTATTTTATTGAATAACTTGATTTATTTTAGCTCAATACAATACTAATTTACAATATGCATATGCTGTATGCTATAAATATGGTACTTCAAATCAATTGGAAGGTGAATTAAAATAAATAATGTTTAAATTATTCCATATATGAACACAAGCACTTTCAACAAATAACTTTCTATTTCTAATAAATATTATTTATTTCTTAAAGAAAACAAAATACAATTAATATAAATAAAATAAATATATATATATATATTTATATATAAAATAAAAATGTGTAAAAAAGGAATAAACCTAATATGTATATAATAGCGCGCTACTGTCTTTACAAACGACCTATTATCAAAACTGAAATCTGATACTTTGTAAAAGTGCGGTGATCTCTATAAAGCACCGGAAGTAATTAACCCGTTACTCTGCACATAAATACGCTTCATATTTATATTTTGCCCATAAGACGACAAAGAAAATTTGCTTACAGTGTTTAATATTCGTATTTTTAATATTTTCTATACTAATATGATGAGTTTCTGAAACTGAAAACAAGGTGTTTTTATAATTTATTAAATAATCACGATAATATTTTTAACGGAATTCCCCTACAGTGTAATTAATTTTATGTTGATATACTGTTGTGGTATTTTTTTACAGACCTGATGAGAGTGGCGGATCGAAACTATTAGGACTTTACGCTCCGGTTATTTATTATTATTTACCTTAAATCGCTGGGACCATTTACTTGGTATATTTAAACTTTGGGGCATCGACCCAGAAAGTGTTATATTATAAAAACCATAAAAATAATCGCCTAATAGGCCTGTATGTTTTTGTATATTTCTATAGAGAATATTCTACATCTACATAAATACAAATTAATTAATAGCTACCTTAGAATCATATATTTACTTTGTCATTGTAAATTATCTCTTATTTGGTAGGTAATGTTAACCCCTTACTGCATGATTTTTTTGATTAATATTATTTTAATTTATGTAATGTATTATGACCTCAGAAGATCTGGAAAAATATTAAAAAAATTCTACGGCATGTTTTTTTTTTCTTATATTCAAAAATTTTGACATGTGCTAAATATGGAACAACTTTAGGTAACATTAATATTAAAAAATATACATTTTAATAATTTTAGTAATGTAAATATAAAAAATATTTCTTATTCAGTATGAAAGCGATAAAAACAGTTACGGTCCTTATTAAGACACAAAAAAACCATACATTTTGCACAATAAATGTGTGATTTTCCCTTGCAGTCTATATACTTGCAGCGTTGACGCTCAGTATGAGACCATTCCGGTAAGTGACCCAAGTTATCAGTTCCAATTTTTCGAGCTGGTATTTGCGCAAATGGGTATTTTTTCTTTTTCAATTGCAATTGAGTTTGTAAGTCATTGCTTGGCCTTCCCCTTTTTTTTTTGTAGAACATTAGCCCTGGTTAGAATTTCTGCTAGTGCCAGTTTGAATTCTGCTAGAGGCAAGTACATATCGTCAGTTTGAGAGCGTCGCCATAAAATCCAACTATTAACACACAACATATCTATAAAATGGTAAAATACTCTCATATACCACTTCTTCGACCTGATCTGAATTCTGTAATAACCCAACATTGAATCTAAGAGATCAACACCACCCATATAGTTATTGTATATCCCAATACATTTTGGACGGGGAATCTCTATATGGCTCTTTGTTTTTCTACAGAACCGTTTTACGTCGGACATGGGCTAACTTCCAACATAAGTTGATATGGTATTCACTATTTTATTATCGTACCAAGA